GGGGGCAACTCCTGCATTGAGCTGGTGGTCAGTGCACGTGATAGTGACAAGTCATTCTGCTGTTCAGTCGATTTGCATATTACCGTTTTATTATATAGAATGTGCAAAGTCGCTAATCATCTCAGAGATACAAATCAAAACAACAATGAGATACCATCTCACACCTGTCAGAATGGCTATCATCAACAAACAACAAGTGCTGGCAAGGATGGGGAGAAAAAGGAACCCTCGTGCACTGCTGGTGGAAATTCAACCACTGTGGAAAACAGTATGGCGTTTCCTCAAAAATAAAAAATGGAACTTCCATTTGACCCAGTAATCCCACTTCTAGGAATATATCCCAAGAAAACAGAAACATCAATCGGAAAGGATATATGTACCCCCATATTAATAGCAGCACAATTTACAATAGCTAAGATTTGGAAACAGCCTAAGTGCCCATCAGCAGATGAGTGGATTAGAAAACTGTGGTGCATCAACACAATGGAATACTACACTGCTGTAAAAAAGAAGGAATTCTTATTATTTGCAATAGCATGGCTGGAACTGAAGAGCATTACTAAGTGAAATAAGCCAAAGAAAGATAAATGTCACATAATCTCACTCATTTGTGGAATATAATGAACATAAACTGATGAACAAAAACAGAACCAGAGTCACAGAAGCATTGAATAAACTGTCCAAACTATGAGGGAAGGCTGTGGGTGAGGGGATAAGAGATCAAACAAAGGACTTTTATGCATGCATATGAGCATAAGCAATGGACACTTTCTATAACTGAAACTTTGTAGCCTTAAGTGGAGGCCTGGGCTGGCCAAGATATGTGGAAAGCTTGGCTTCCTCCATTGCCAGGGAAACCCAAGCCTCCTGCTCGCTCCGTGGCCACAGCCATCTTGTTTGGGTTAATTTGCATACTCACTCCTGATTGGTTAGTGGATGTGGCTTGTGGGTGTGGTTTAGTGGTGGTTAATTTGCATGTTATTATTTTATTAGATAGGATATATTGCCTGATTGCTATGGTTACTTCTAGGTTGAGAACACCAGACTGTTGTTTTCTAGTACTGATTCCTGTTCCAATTAGTGAAAATACTAGGTATGTCATGAGTCAATTGTATTACTCAAACTTGTTTATGCCAGCTGAACTTTTTATTGTAATCACATCATTTAATTAGATTTTATATATACTGATTGAGTGTAAAAAGAAAGCTGTTTTATTAAAAACTAAATTGAATGCTTCAAAAGGCTTGATAAAAGGGAAATACCAAAAAAGTTTCTAATTAACCATGAATAAGGTAGATCAGAAGAAAAAAACATACTAAAGAAATTGTGAACTCAAGTTTACTTCACAAAAGTGTTTTAAAGAAAATGACAGGCAACATCAGGCTATGGTAATTTATGCATGGAAGTTAACATGAAATTCCAGCAACAAAATCAGAATATTCATTTATACATTCAATCCATAAGTACATATTGAACATCTATCTGTCATATGCCAGTTGTTCCTAGGGCAGCAGTTCTCAATCTTTTTGGCCTTAGGACCCTTTATATTAAAAACTAGAGGCCCGGTGCATGCATTCATGCATGGATAGGATCTCTCAGTCTGGCCAATGATCAGGGCCAAAAGGGGCCAGCCAGCCAGGGGAAGAGACCACAGGAGGTTGACCAGTGGTGGGAGGTTCGCTGTAGGAGGCACTGACCACCAGGGGGCAGCTCTTACATTGAGTGAATGCTCCCTTGTGGTCAGCGCATGTCATAGCAACTGGGTGATGTTCGCTTAGGCTTTTTTATATATAGATTATTGAGTAACCCCAAAGAGCTTTGTCTTACAGGTAATATTTATCAACATGTATGTGAAAAATTAAAGCTGTAAAAGTTTACAACATAAGAATACACCAGCACACATTCCATTAGCCATCATAGCACTAATGTGTTCACTTATCACACAGCTACAGGAAAACAAGACTGTACACATGAGAGAATGGCAGTAACAAAGTTAAATGTCTTATTACTGTTATTATTAAAATAGTTCTGACTTCACAGACACCTGGAGTCTCAGGAAACCCTAAGTGTCTCTGGACCAACTATGAGAACCAGTTATAGAGCTTAGGAATCAATAATAAATCAATCCCACTCTTGTGTAATTTAATGAAGAAGTACAACAATAAAGAAGTAAATGAATAAATATATAAATTCAGATAGTCATAAATGCCATAAAAAAAGAAAAGAAACCCAAACAAAACAGGACAAGGTGGTAAAAGTGAAAAGTGGGAGGTGTGGGGAAGCAATAGGGCAATTACTTTACATGGGATGGTCAGAAAAGGCTTCTCTGAGGAGGGTTATTGCAGGAATGATCCTTCCTAAGATCTGAGGCATAGGAATGATATGATCTGATTGAAGTTTTTAAAATATTACATGACTTACCAGTAAGGCATAAAAATGGAAATAGGCTATTGCACTAATCTTACAATGAATGCTGGTGACTTGGATAGTGTCATAGCAGTGGAAGGGTGAGATTTGAATGGATATGCAAGTTATTATGAAAGAAAAGACATAATAATTGCTGAAGGACTAGACATGAGATTATAAGGAAAAAGAAATGAAGGAAAGATGGCAGAGCAATGAGGTAAATGTTGCTATTTTTTATGATTTAAAGAAACCTTGGGAGATGGGAGACTGGGGGCAAGACCTAGCTTAAGATGTTTAATTAAAATCAGAGTAAAAATATTGAACATGAGAGTCTGGAACTCAAGACAGAGGTCAGGACAGGAGATGCACAATCCAAAATCATGAAGAATTCAAGTATGTGCTTAGATGAGATCACCTAAGGAATAAAAGGATAAAGAAATCAAGCAAGAGAATTCAGGTCTGAAATTTTGCCCTACACCAAGGCTGTCAAATTAACATATATTTTAAATTTGTTATTTTTAAGGCTTGCCTTTTTAAAATAACCAGTAATTAAGATCCATCGCATACTTCAAGGTTCAGCTCAAATGCCTCAGTGAAGCAATCCTCCATGGTTGAAAGAGAAGCAGAGGACTAGATTACACTGGGATTTTAAACCATGGTCTATGGCTTTTTGAATTTTAACCTAAGAGTAAGGAAATGTCATTGAGGGATATTAAAGAATAAAGGACATAATCATATTTATAATTTTAAAAGATCACTCCAGTTTTGTAGAAAATGAATTAGAGAAGGGCAAGGCAGGGGACAATGATCTGTAAACTACTCAAGTAATCTAGGCAAAGTGAATGGTGGTATGGCAATGGGATAACAGTGTTTCCCAAAGTGTGGTATGCGTACCCCCAGGGGTACGGGAAGAGTTTGGTGGGGGTACGCAGGCTGAGGCTCTCTATCCACTGAGCCAAACCGGTTAGGGCTCTTCCTGCTTCTTTTCTACCTGCACACCCCATCCCCTTCCAATTCAGTCTTTCCTCAGAACCACAGCCAGAGACATTTTTGTTACTTCTCTGCTCATAATTCTGCCATTATTCCCACTTTCCTCTTTGAGTACAAGTCCAAATCTTAACAGCTACCTATAAAGCTCTACTAAATATGGCCCTGTTACATCTCTGACCTCATCTACTACTTTTCCTCTCACCTCTTCTACTTCAGTCACATTGGCTTCTTCTGCTGTTTGTTCTGAAGGTTAAGGACATTTGCATCTCAGGGACCTTGCTCCTGGAATGCATCTTCCCTAGATAGCTGCAGTCCATATTTATTTCATTGCCTGTTCACTTGCCATCTTCTCTGAGTTTTTTCCCAATCATCACATTTAAAATTGCAACTCCAATCCCAACTTCTTATATTCTTTATCCCCTTCTCTGCTCTATATTTCTCCACAGCATTTCTCCACCACCAAATACTCTGTCTTACTTTCTGAAGCATATGTTCAAAAAAGACAAGAATTTGTCTGTTTTATTCACTGCTATATCCATGGTGTTTAAAGCAGCGGTGATCACTCTGTTCACTGAACACTTTCTTTAAAAAAAAAAAAAAAAAAAAAAAAAAAAAAAAATATATATATATATATATATATATATATATATATATATATATTTCAGAGAGGGAGAAGGAGAGAGATAGAAACATCAATGATGAGAGAGGATCACTGATCTGATGCTTCCTGCACACCTCCTACTGGGGCAATGATGAGAGAGAATCACTGATCTGATGCTTCCTGCACACCTCCTACTGGAGATCAGGCCTCAATACAGGCATGTGCCCTTGGCTAGAATCGAACCGGGGACCCTTCAGTTCTCAGGCTGATGCTCTATCCACTGAGCCAAACCGGCTAGGGCCGAACAAGCACCTCGCCTGGTATTTCAGGGAAGATCATCAAGCGTCTCTAAGATTTCCTCCAGCCCTCTCTGATCCCTAGAAGGATCACACTTTGCCTAGAAAGAAAAACCGTGTTGTACGGCCCACCACCAGGGGGAGCTCGAGAGGCAGAGCTGACCGAAGAGAAACCAGATGTGATTTCCCTTGCTTTTCCTCCATCCGCCTCAAGGTGGAAGAACCCTGGGTTTGGAAGGCGACTTGGACTGAATGAATAATTTTCTCCGCGCGGTGAATTCGCCGTCAGCGTTAAAAACCGCCATCCTTTCGCATGCCACCAAGAGGCCAAGGAAACCAACCCGCGGGCCGCTGAGAAATGGGCGGCTGATTCCTCAACCCCAACACTAAGAAGTCCCCATAAATCTGGGGGAAGAGTTCCCATGAGCGCCCAGAGACACGTAATTCACACTCCGGGAGGCCAGGGTGTCCCGGGAGGCCGGCCGGCACCCTCGGACCGGAGAACTATTCGGTCCGTTCTGGTCCAGATTCGAAGTAGCTACCATTCCTTCAACCGGCGTTTAAAGCAAGGAGGTCGGTCCCGGGTGGAAGGGCTCCGAATGGGCTCCGATCCGTCAAGTCCCGATTCATGAAAACTCCGCAAACAATGTGTCTTTCCCTTCACCCCCCCCCCCCCAACACACACACACCCTGAGATTCGGACTCACCGCCACCTGTTGATGCCCACGTTGGAGGAGCCCGCGAACCAGGGGTCGAGGATGTAGACGCAGCGGATGGTGTCGGCGCCCCGAATGCACTCCTTCAGGGCGGGGTTGTCGTGCAGCCGGAGCCCCTTTCGGAACCAGTGCACCGCGTTCACCCCCATGCCGGGCGCGCGGCGGGCGGCGGGTCACCACCGCCAAGCTCCTCCGCCGGGAAATTCAAGAAGGCACGAGGGTCCGGCTCATCCCCGACACCGCCGCTTCCAGGAGAATCGCCGCACCCCGGGGAGGAGGACAGGGCGGCGGCGGAGGGGGGTCAGGAAAAGACGAGTCTGAGGAGCGGACCCGAGAGGGAGAGGGCGCTGGAGGCGCAGCTGGGCGCCGGAGGGCGGCTGCCCGGGCGGCAGCCGAGTCCCCGTGTGACGCCCTTTAGGAGCCGGCACCCGCCGCCACCGCCGGGAGGACACGCATAACTCCGAGGGCCGCCGACCCCCGGAGGGTGAGCGGGTTCCAGGGGGAGCTCGAGCCGCCACGACAGCCCGAGCCGGTCCCCGGAGCCCCAGGAGGCTCGTCACGGAAACCTCGCCCCACCGAGGCGGGTCCCCTGAGGAAAAGCGGGCCCGCCCGAGGCGAGCCACCGACGAGGAGGAGGAGGAGGAGGAGGAGGGGCGAGGACTCAGCCCCTACCGGCCAAGCTGCCTCTCACTCAGCCCGGGACCGAGGACGGAACACGGAGGCGCGACGGGTCGGTCGAGGCCGCGGGAGGATTGCCGCCGCCGATGACCGGTGTCGAGCCGGCCCGGGTGACTCCGCCGCCAGCGCCGCCGCGTCAGCGGCCCCGGCCCCGCCCCCGGCTCCTGACTGGACGGCGCGCCGCCCACGTGACCACCGGCACCTCACGTTTCTGAAGTGTGTTTACTACCGCGGCGCGCGGGCTGTGGCGTGTGCTCGCGCTTCGGCCGCTTCTAGGGGTCGGCAGCCATTCGATCTCAACACTGTGGCCCTCGCCTAGAAGCCGGGCTCTCGGCCTCCGTCCCTTTTCCAGGCGGACCGGTTGCGGGGGCCTGGGAGGGCCGCGGGGGCTCACAGGCCCCACGTGAGAGAAGGCTTAGCTCCGCCCCCCGGTGGCCGTGAGCCTCCCCCATTGGCTGAGGCTCGCTGAGACCCGGATGAGCACGGGGATGCGGGCAGCTCGCGGGCGCGCGCGCTCTGCCGGAGAAGGAAGGTGCGCGTGCGCTCTCGCCTCTCGCCGCGTTCCTGGGGAGACTAGGGCGGGGCCGCCGGCGGACGCACATGGGCGCTCCCGCGGGTTGGGGCGGGGGAGAGAAACCCTCGAAGGCCCGGAGGCGGCTTTGTTCCCTCTGAGAGTCTTGGGAGGGGCCCCGGCGGGTAATTAGGGGAAGATGGGGAGGATGGAGGAGAGTAGGACGGAGGAGGCTCCACGTCAACTTTGATGCCAAACTGCGCGCATCAACCCAGCTTTGTGCAGAGAACCTTACTTTGGAGTGTGCAGCGCCATTCCAAAGGTGCTGTGACCCTTGAACTTGCTCCGGGGATGTGGAGTTATGGGCCGCCGGGCGGGTGCCAAGCATTCCTGGACTTGTAATTCCCTAATACTAGCGAATATCAACAGTATATGAGCCCTCGGTCTCTTATTTTTATGGCAGCCGTTGCCCACCTTGCCGAGGGCATTGAACTGCCATTCCTTATTCATGTGATGTACTTATAGTCATTCAGTAATTACTGAACGAACCAGGCACTGCTCCAAGTGCTGGAGATCCAGGAGAGAAGAAAATGGGCTAACACCCCAGTTTACAATCTGGATCTCTTAAACTTTTACTCTTTGCTAAATTTTTCCCCTCCCTCTATAAAATCTTCGCTCGCATCTGCTGCTCACTAACAACCATTTTTGCCCTGCCTAGTGAAAGATGAAACAGAGGGCCGGAGACCAGGATGCCAGGACACAGGCTTTATTGGAGGAGAAGACCCCTGCCCAGCTGCCTTCCAGAGAGGAAAGAGCACACGTATTAGGGGAGGAAAAGGAAGGAACAGGGCTTAGGGCACTTAGCACACACTGATTGGTGGTTTCATGTAAGTCACATGATTAGGGATTTAGGAATGGGGGGCTTAGGGTATTTGGCCTGTGCTGATTGGTGGTTCAATGTACAGTCCACATAAGGTGCTTGTTAGGTGCTTAGGAATGTCTATGCTGCAGGTACAGGTTAGGTCATACTCCAACCATCAGTTGGGGGAAGGAAGGATCTATCACCTAGTATATTTCTACACATTCCCTTAGACTCAAATGCAGTGCAATCTAATTTGTAAAAATACTCCTGCTCCCTCCCTCCCCAAATTTTTTAATAATCACTTATCACATTCTGGATTATATTGAGAAGACAATGAAAAGTGCCTACTTCAACACTAGTGCAAGTAGGTGCTCAATAATTGGACTTACTACTCTAGTAATGTGTCTCTGACTCCCTCTAAAGTGTGACTTGTTAAGGACCATGGCCCCACCCAGTTCTTTGTTCTTTTTTTGCATCAATACCCATCCAGTACAGAATCTGATACATAAGCATCAAATGTTGATTGAATGACTGAGTTAATGAATGCTGTTTGCCACCAGAGTCTGGCAAGGTTAGGAGGAAGAAGGATATGGCAATTGTTACTGCCTGAACTGTGTGCTTTCAATTAATAGAAACCTGTGAGAGTGACCTTATTGGAAAATTAGAGGCCCAGTGCATAGAATTCATGCATGAGGGAGGGTCTCCTCAGCCCGGCCTGCACCCTCTCCAATCCGGGACCCCTCAGGGGATGTCCAACTGCCTATCCCAATCTGGGATCACTAGCTCCTAACCCCTCTGCCCGATCGCCCCTAATCGCCTCTGCCTCACCCCACACCCTGGACCCAAGATTTCCTCCTTCTGGCTGCCTGCAGTCAGCCAGGACCCGGGCAGCCTCAGAGGACCGTGGGTAGGTGGTTTTGCTTGGGCTGCAGCCACAGGCACCCGGGACCATGGGGTGGGTGGCTTGTCCCTCTCCTGGGCCACAGCCTGGCTGGTCCCCATTCCTCTCTCGAGCTCATTTGTGCATGGCTGGTCCTCATTCATCTCTCCCCAGTGTTGAGTGTCTGATCCATTACTGCATGAGGGTGTGATGACCATTTGCATATTAGCTCTTTATTATATAGGATAAGATCAAGCTAAGATGTCATTAGGATAGGCCCTAATCCAATTTGTCTGAGGTCCTTAAAAAAATGGGTAAATTTGCACACAGACACACATACAAGGTAAATGCTGTGTGAAGATTAGAGTTATGCTGGGGGAGAATGGAGGTTCAGAGCTAGTCACCCCAAGATGTGCCTCAGTGGTGCAGGCTCTAGAGAAACTTCTGCCTCCCACCTCCACTACCTAGAAGAATTTAAATCGGGAACCTGACCTATGAAAAAAATTATCACCAGAAATAAGTTTTTTTTTTATCTTATTTATTCATTTAAATTTCTTAATTGATTAAGGTATCACATATTTTCCTCAACTCCCCATTCCAGTCCCCCACCCCTCCTATTGTCCTTGGCCACTCATGCCCCCACCCCCCTATTGTCCTTGACCACTGGTTAGGCTCATATATATGCACACAAGTCCTTTGGTTGATCTCTCCCTTTTATCCCCACCCTCCCTCTGAGGTCCAACTGTCTGACAGAAATAAGTTTTTAAGAATCTATATGGTAGGGCAAATTAGTAAATCACTGAACATGTGCTTTCCTCCCTGCAGTGATCTCCTGAAGCCCCAAGGTGCATTACCTCACCCCAGTTCAGAATGTCTTACATATCCATGTTCCCTTTCTGTCTCTGAACCTCCTTCCTGTGTATGTGGGATCTCTGTCCCATGTATATGGGGTTCTCCTACATATGTATGTATGAAATTTAGTTACTTTCTCTTGCAATTCTGTCTTAGGTCTATTTGAGGGTAGAGCAGTGGTCGGCAAACCGTGGCTCGAGAGCCATATGCAGATCTTTGGCCTCTTGAGTGTTCTAAATGCCACTTCTTCAAAATAGACTCACCCAGGCTGAAAACCGACTTCTGCGCCTGGGCCACGAAGTTTCAAGCGCATTGTACATGCGCTCCCCCACGTGGTATTTTGTGGAAGAGCCACACTCAAGGGGCCAAAGAGCCGCATGTGGCTTGCCAGCCACGGTTTGCCAACCACTGAGTAGAGGAAAGTATTTTCCTCCCCAACAACTGCAACAAGGCAGGGAACTATGTACTCCCTGTGAGGCCATAAATGCCTGTTGTTCTAAGCTACTTCGTTACTAGCAAATTAATAACAGTAACATAAATTCGGTCATCTAGTGAGCCAGAATGTCTGGAAAGTATCCCCTACCCCTGTTTTTGTTGCCACACAGAGGACATTGCATTCTTCCCTTGGTTTCTTAAGAGCATTTAAAATTATATGTGAAATCTCTTTGTTCACTAGAAAGTTATTTTTAGCAAGAGGATGAGCCTTGGGTAATTACTGTTCTGACGGGTCCATGACCTATGCAGAGGATGTTGCGTACAGAGCCGTGCCTTCGCTTGGATTGCCTCCCACTCCAGGGCCTTTCATACTTTTAAAAACACAGTGTTTCTCAGTTCATTTTAGGCAGTTTAAAAGTAAGCAGATTGTGTCTAAAGACATTAAGAATTGTTTTTAAGCATCCAAAGGAGACCGTGGGAGTAGAGGAAGAGAATATTGATTTGTGTAGAGTTGACTTATGATGTTCATTCAGTGAAGATGGATTTTTTTTTTTTTAACAGACAGCTGTATGTGGGTGGGTGTGTAACTTTCATTTATACATCTAAGTACTAATTATAAAAGTGTCAGTATTGTTAACTGCCCTTCTTAAAGACTGAAGAATTTTTATGGCATATAAACAGTTACTTTAACATATCTTTATTATATACTAGAGGCCTGGTGCACAAAATTCATGCACTGGAGGGGTGGGGTGGCAGTCAGACATCCCTCTTGCAATCCGGGACGCCACATGCACCAGTGACCATACTTTTTATACAGGTGAAAGGCATCTTGCTGTTGTATGGGCAGCTACATTTTTTTTGCCCTGATTATAAAAAGTAGTACATAACATGATCCTTCTGATGCAGTAGTACCATTTCCCCCATCTTATGG